TGCAGGGTCCCTCGGCAGGCGGTGGTTGCAGCTTCGCTCGGGGGTGGCCTATAAGATAATGTGGGAGAGACGAGCGATACAAGTGCATTCAATGCATATACATAGGGCTGCGCGACGCGCTTTCTTCGACTTTGGCAAACTACACACAGCGCGCAGTACAATACGAGACATATAGAATGCACCGTCTTCAAGTAGGTGAAGATGACCTTGGCGCACTTGGAACGGAGCCGGATAGAGTGGAGGCCGAGGCCCGAGCACACCTTGAACAAGGCATCGCCCGCATAGTGTTCACGAACACCAGCGGGCGACACGACACCAGCGGCGCGTAAATCCGCAAGAACCTAAGAAGCCGTCTGTCTAAATATCCGAGTACGCGATGATGGAGCATCCCTACCGTAGCCGGGTCAAGCGGCGGGGCGACGGGCTTCTTGGGCGACTTGCCCTTCGCTTTCTTCGCGCTCTTGCCCTACGATACCGCTAAGAGCATGGACAACGAGGCTTCCCTACCTTGCTTGGCGTGTTGAGCGCTGGTGGCTGGCCCTTCTTGGGCGTCATCGACCGGGTTGTCATCTGGAACCAAGCTTAAGCATGCATACGTACGTGCGGGTAGTTGACGTACCTTGTGCATCCCCGTGTTCATCATCGCGTCCACTGTCGCGTCCATTGCTGTGTCCGTCATGGACCACGTTGTCATCTAGTACCAAACATAAGCATGTGTCCACGCAGGCAGTCGCCGTACCTTGCACGTCGCCGCGTCCATCGTCCCGTCCATCGCTGCGGATCGTGTAGCCATGCTTGGTTCTCCACGGTGTGGGCGGCAGTTGCGACGTCCGGTGTCATTTCACGGCCCGAGACGGGGTCGAGTCATGCCTTGCGCACGAGGTTGGCATGGTGCTCGAAACCGGCAGCTGGAAGAAGGTCCCGGACGCCGTTAGTAAACCAGAATTCCGCCACGTATCTGCAAATCGTGGGTGCCGGGAGCTAGCACTCGATCGGTGGCTGCCGTCTTGACGCCCTTCAACAAGCCAGAGAACGCCAAGTAGTGGCCAAGAAGGGCAGCGCCACCGCTTGCACCAACTTGGTCGTCCGAAGGCGCAGCGTCCACGGCCGAGACCTCGCAGCTCATCTGCGCCAGCATCTTGTCAAGAACGGGGAGGCGCTGGAGCAGCATCGTCGAGTCGAGGAGCTTGCTCTGGTCCACGACCCAGTGCTGCAAGCCCAGTGCAGTCTTGTTGAACTGCTCTACCGCGAGGTTGATCACATCTTCCTCGGTCGTCATGAGGGCGTCTTGGAGGTGCACGGAGCTCTCGGTCGCTTGGCGGAGCGTCTCGGTGAGGTCACCCTCGTCCTTGGTCGCGGAGCTCATGGAGCGTTCGTACCAAGTATTACACTGTAGCCGGCGCAGAAAATCCGATTGTGAAATGATTCAGGTAGACTTGACGTCTGATTGGCGAAAAATCTTGCATCGAATGCATCGAGAACAGTGTTTGAACCGGCTCATAAATTAGTCACCCCTGTGCGGGTTCCTCGGGGTATCCAGTCGAGCCTTGGATAAGGACGCAGTCGTAAGCCTTCTCGGCTACATGTAGTCTCCAGGTGCTTTGGAGTGAACGATCGCGGTGGAGATAGCTGATGGAGATGTTAACGAAGGAGTGCGGTGATGACGTCGTCGCTTTCATTGCACGGCAGCATCCGGATAACATCCGCCAATCATCTATCACCTGGCTTGCATCTCGGCCAATCACATGCGACTGGTGGTACTTAGTACTGATAGCCATGGCGCTTCCGTCAACAGCTTCCTTCTTCCGACGTCGCCCTCATGGTGCTCCAGCTGCTCAAGCAGACCAAAAGCTTTGGCGGCCTCGTCCAGCACTTTGCGCATGAGAGCACAGCGACGCGGTCGCGCATGCAGCTCTCGGTCTTCCTGCCACCCAATGCGTCATTGATGGCCAAGGTGCCGGCCCTCGTCTTCTTGGCGGGCGCCGCCCGCGACGAGCACACGCTCATGACCTTTGGCGGTCCGCAGCGCATCGCAGCAGCCTACGGCATCGCCCTCATTGCGCCCGATACTAGGTACCGAATGCAAACAACCTGTCCTGTGGTTGACGACAATGCTAGTCCGCGGGTCAAGCGCGGCGCGAGCCATTGGTGCTACGGCCCAGGTTCTCTCACAGTTATGTATCCGTTCTCAAGTCAAGTGGCGTAGGTGCAAGCTGGTATGTGGACGCGACCGAGCCGCGCTGGGCCGACAACTATCAAATGTACTCGTACATCACCAAGGAGCTGCCGACGCTTCTAAACGCGCAGCTGCCCATTGCGCAAGACAAGTACTCGATCATGGGTCACTCGATGGGCGGTCACGGCGCGCTCATGCTAGCGCTCAAGAACCCTGTATGTTACTCGTGGCATGCAGCGTACAGCGAGATGGAACGGACGGTTGTGTAGGAACTATACCACTCGGTGTCGGCGCTCGCGCCCGCCAGCAGCACGATCCGGAGCTCGTATGGTGCCAAGGCGCTTCAAATGTATCTGGGCGATGACGTGGCAGCGTGGAAGGTCTTCGTAATGTCCACGAGTTGCACTGCAACGGTTTCGTAGGCGTGGGATGCGACCGAACTCGTGCTGGCCAACGGACCCGTCTCGAAATACAACATTTTGATCGACCTTGGCGCGGACGACGAGTTCTGGCACGACGACGTCCAGCTGCATCCCGAAGCTTTCGAGGTCCACCGCTGATTCAAGGACAGTGCGGAAGATGACGTTTGGGTGTAGGCGGCGTGCAACCAGGTCGGCCAACGCCTCACCTTTCGAGCCCAGGTACCTTGAAAGAGTCTCTGTCTTGTTGTTTATGAATCATTCAATAGGATGGCTATGACCACTCGTGGGACTTTGCCGCCACGTTCATGGAAGACCATATCCGCCACCATGTCGAAGCGCTGCACTCGGCTTCGTCGTAGAACCTCCATCTTTGCACACAATCCCAGCTGCAATTGTATCACGCAGCATACATGCTACGAAATACACTAGAAAATAGCCTAAATGTGGAATGTTTCGTAAAGAACAACTAGAAGCTCATTTTCATATAGATCTTCAACGTGTTGGCTGCATCATGGTCGACCGCTTGCGTCTGTTTTTGCGAGACTGACAATCTCATCTTCGTCTCACGAAGAGCACAATGAGCCATACATGGAGGTTAGAATTCGAAAAAGCTACGGTGTCGCGCTTAGAATGATGTCACGTGCACGGTCTTGCCCGCGCACGAGTCTTGTTTTTGCCATCCTGGCGGGCACGCGATCGCGTCCGTAGGTCCATAGCTCGGGTCCGACGTCGCATGCAAGTCGGGTTGGGCCTTCCCGTAGCACGTCAAGACGCGAGCGAGGTCGTCTCCATGACAGATCAAAACGGGCGCCGCGCCCGTTGCCGTCGTGAGCGCCGAGCGCAGAGCCACCGTGTCGACCGCGTCGCCAACGTGGTCACTCAAGATCGACGGCGTCCCGAGCGCAATCGTGAGGTCGACAATCTTTTGCAAGTAGGCGCCTTGGTGCAAGCCGCCGCACGTCCACGCATACTCGGGCGTGTTGCCGTCAAAGCCGCCCGACCACATGGCACTGGCGTCGGTCGCCTCGGGGTTGGGCCAGTACTGCGCGAGCTTGTCTTGGCCGACAAGCGCAATGTTGGTGGGACGAAACGTGCCGTACTCGTAGCGGCACAAGCCCGACTGCATCGATCCGTCCTTGTACGCCGGAATCAAGTCGCCCGCGACCAAGTGATTTTTGAGAAAGCTTGGTGGCGCCGCGCAGACCGCTTTCCCGGGCGTCGTGGCGCAAATCTCGGGATACCACACTCGGGAGAAGACCCACACGTCTTGATCGCCAAACGCCGACGGGTTCGGCACAGCACGCAAGGAAGGGTACGCTGCAGCGATGGCCGCAATCGCACTCAGAGACACGAACAGGATCGCGAGCTGCATCGTATCCTTGCCAGGCAACGGTAAGTTCTTATGTGCGATCAATGGACGCTGGCGCTGGAACGATAGAAAACTCGACTTTGCCATTTGTTCGAGAGAGAAAGGACGAAACCGTCGGTGCCAGTCAGCCTCGCTGTTGCCGTGCCAAGCCCCGGGTACACGTACTAGCATGGTTTGGCCTTGATAATAGCTCAGCCCTGTATCGAGCCTAGTGACAAGCGAGCTCTTGCTGTCGAGTAGCGTCTAGGTGCAACGTTCGGCCCGCCGACACCACAAAAATACATGTACAAGAGAAGACTGAGTTTAGGAACAATGAAAACAAGAAGAGCGCTACCGCGCCAAGAGACGCGATTCTCTCGCGCCTAATTGTACACGGGCGGGAACGGCACAATGCGCGTCTCAGCCTCAGTGCACGAGTCGGTACTCGCGATCGCCGTCGGGCAGGCCATGCGCGTCGTGGGCTCGTACGTCGGGTCCGTCTCGGTGGCCGACGGCGTACGCTTGGCCCAGCACGTGACGACGCGAGCGAGGTGCTTGCCGTCGCACTGCAAGACAGCGTTGCCTCCAAACGCGTCCCGAAGCGACAGCGTCGCGACGGTCGACCCTATGTGCGATCGAATCGCGCTCGGCGTGCAGAGGTCTTTGGTCATGTTGACGACCTTCTCGAGGTACGGGCCTTGGTGCATCCCGCTGCACGTGTACTCATACTCGGGCGTGCCCTTGTCAAAGCTGCCCGTCCACATCGTGTCGACGCTTGGCGCGTCAAAGTGCGGCCAGTAGTCGCGCAAAGGTCCTTGGCCGACAGCGTGGATATTGGTCTCGAGAAACGTGCCGTACTCGTAGCGACACATGCCGGTTTGGGCGCGCCCCGAGTCGTAGCTCGGCACGAGCGAGGCTGCGACGAGATGCGACTTCATAAAATCGGTGGGGCTCGCGCACAGAGAACTGGCGTTGTAGCTCGTTGCGCATGCCTGCGCGGGCCAAAGCGTTGTAAACACCCACAGGTCTTGGTCGCCCCACTCGGACCACGACGACGCAGCCGCGGACGTAGAAAACGCAAGCAGAAAGAATGAAGTCTTCATGGCAAAAGGTAAACTGTTGATGATAGGCGAATCGAGAAACGAGGTGCGCAGAGTCGCGGGCAGTGATGTGATCCAGCGCGGCATCTGGCTCATCCCAGCCCCACTTTGCATACGATGCAGCTCAGGGACGATCAAAGACGATCGATACGGT